TGAGGAATCACACAAGAGGAGTGATTAAAGCCGAGCAGAGTTCCCAGTCCTTACAGAAGTTTGCATATTTGTGGCAGCCGGACAAAGGGAGGAGGGGATACCAGGAAGGGGCATGGCATTAGAGGGGAAAGGTGCAGTAAAGGTAGGAAAGGACAAAGCCTCTCCCAATGGGGAGGAGAAAGGCCGTGGCCAAAGCCTCATTCTTCTCCCTTGGAACTGCTAACTTATGAAGACTGGAAGGTCTGCTTATCTGCAAAGGACCCCAGCCACACGCGCATTTTCCTGGCACTGACTGCCTAGCACCTGTCTTGCCTCCCAAGGACACACATGGAATCCAACATGGAGTGCAACAACAAATTACGTCATCTCAGTGGGGCTTTGTTCTTGGCACATCCAGAGACTCCGGCATACTATGGGTCCAGTGTTTCTGAAAAATATGGCAACTCAAGAAGACAGGTTCAAGTGGATTCGGAGCAACAGGGTCACTCTCTCCTCCTTGCTACTCTCTTCTCTCTAGGTTTTCAGGACCCTCACCCTCCACCCAGCTCCTGGTCCTCCTCCCTCTCTGACCGATCCACCTCTGTCTGCCTTGCTGCATACTCCTCCAGATCAAGCCCTCTAACCGGAGGTGGCCCTCTGGGTTCTGTCCAGGACCTCTTCTCTGCTTCCTCTATGCTACTGACCCTGGTGATTTCATCAGCTCCCATGGATTTAATGACCGTCTCTATGCTGACAGTTCTCAGATCTACCCATCCTGCCCCAAACTCTCCCTTGACATCCAATCTCACATTTTCAGTTGCTTTTCAGATATCTCTAACTAGATGTCCAGTGGACATCTTAAATTCAGCATGGCCAAAAACAGAACTCATTATCTTCCCCCTTAAACCATTTCTCCCTCCAACCTTCTCTGTTACTATAAAGGGCACTACCATCCTCCCAGGCCCTCAGACTCAAAACCTAGGAATCTCCTTACTATCCCTCATTGCCCATATCTGATCTCTTACCAAGGCCTGTCAATTTCACCTTTGCATCATCTCCTGAATACACCCCCTTCTCTCCTCTGACACTGCCCTCGCCCTGGTGCAGACCCTCATCGCCTCACACCTGGACCATTACAATATCCTGCTGGGGGACTGGCCTACCTCAATCTCTCCCCACTCCAGCATGTCCTCCATTCAGCCACCAAAGTGTTCTTCCTGAAGTATAGGGATGATCATGTCTAATCTTTTACTCGGTAAACTCCAGTGGCTTCCTATCACCTCCACTCTCTAACACAAAATCCTCTGTTTGGCATTCAAAACCTTTTATAATCCAGCCCCCTCCCACCTTCCCCGTCTTCTTACACCTTACTCTCTTCCATCCAGTTCCCATAAACATGACACCCCATCTTTCATGCCGTGTTGTTATAAGGCTCTAACCCTAACCCTAAATTTATCATTCAAAATTCACAAAACTAAATCAATGTGAAAATTTAAATAACTAAACTTTCAAATGTGGCTTTTGTCAGTTTGTGGAATTTATACTTCTAAAGTTATGGGCTCGAAACTGCACCCAGACTTTTGGGACACCTTTTAGATGTAGCTCCTGGGTGATAGCCAGGCTTAAATGAGAGCGTATATGTAAAATGCATTGAACTGTGAAGTATTCTTGAAATGTCAGCTTGCTATGTGATGGAAGCCACTTTGGGGGTGATGGATTTTTAGCTTTTTCCAACACATGGTCTTTCTTTTGCAGGGTTGGAGGATAACGGCTTTTTGGAGATGGTAGATACCTCTCCTCCAGAGAGTGACTTCTCCCTTTCTCTCCAACACCTTCTGGTACTCAAGGCTCCTTTCACTGTCCCCACTTCCCTTAGCACCCCCTCCCTCTGGCCTCAGCTGATCCTCCTCTCAATCTCCAAGGCTCTTAACATCTACATTACACACACTTGGGTAGTTCTACATCTCCTTGTCAAGTTTTTGGGTGAGTATACATCTCCCGACTAGACTGTAAGCCCCTCAAGGGCAGCACCTCAAACAGCCCTGGGCAAAAAGAACATCCTCAATTTCCTGAAGGAGCATTGTTTGACTTTTCCTACTGCTGGTGGGGCCAAGCTCAGGTGCAGGCTGCCAGCAGGCCTGGTGCTGGGCCCTGGCCTTCAGCTCTCTGTTATTTCCACCCTGTATGTACCACACACCAGTCTTAATAGACCTGGCACCTTGAGACCTTTGATCCCTAAAGCAGAAGATAAGAGATGTTAAGGTTAATGATTACAGGACACCCACTCCATGGAGAGTAACATTCTGCCAGTATGAGATAGGAACAGTGGCAACATTTCTGCCCTGTTGGCATCCTGTAAATGATTCTGCCTGAAGGCCTTCCGGCCTCATTTAGCCTCAACTTTCCCTTTCCCCTACCCTGCACAACATCTTTTCTGACTGGGGCCCATCACGGTGCCAAAGTCCTGTTACCCTTGGGCATTAGAGGGGCATGAGGTGATGCAGGCCTTCACCATGATGGTGACTGTCACAAGACGTTCAATTTCAGTAGCTTCCTTGGCCTAGACTCTGGTAATGGTGGTCAGCAGTCCGATGGAGGCGCCAGACCTTGGCTTTTGTATTAAGGGCAACCAGGAAGCTCTGTCAGTGGCTAGAGCCTCTAGTCCCCTGGACCAATTACATCTTGAGGATGGCTTCCTTTTAAGAAAAAAATCAGTCTAGCCTTTGTCAAAGAAAAGCAAGTTAAGACTGTACTCTATGTTGTATGTATAAATCTTCCAGAGGCAATTTTTATTTAATTTAACGTTAATCTAATATCCAATATTTCTATCTTAAAGATGTGTGGTTTCTCCTTTGTTCTGGAAGAGGACTATGACATCAGGGAGATGATGACATGACTTGCAATTGACTGTGATTTGAGTGAGGGAGGGCTGTGCAAGGTCACCAGCCTCACTTTTCCCTCAGCCATCTGGGTCCGGTGGCCAGATACTCATCAGGAGGACCGGAGATGGTCCAGGATGCAAAGGGAGACCTTGACTCTTTCAAGTTCAGTTCTCACTTCCAGTGAGGCAATGCCCATTTGGTGAATAGGCCTCTTTAAGAAGTGAGTTAAGGGATGGTCCCTTTAATTTAAAAAAAAAAAAATCAAACTGGGAGGGAACGACCCTCTGGGTTGCTGACCAAAGGAGAACCAGTTACTATTTACATTCATTCTGAGCCTGGAGAGCCCAAAAAATAACGATTAAGTGGTTCTTGGGCAAGGACCTTTTGTTGTCCAATCCATGAAATCCAGAGTGAAGTGGGTTTAAGGCTTGATCTTTGAGAAAGAAATCTAGCCAGTAAACCCCAAGTTAACTAGGTAGCTTTTGGCCATCAAAATTTACCTTCCTTTGGGCAGAACACCCTCAGGTAAGGTGAGAGGGAGAGAAGAGGAGGGGAGGAACTGAGATGCCCAACTGGAACCGGCCAGCTGGGTCCCCATTCAGGCAGCTCGGACCACTCACAGGTTGTGGTTTGTCCTTCATTCTGGAAGAGGACCATGACATCAGGGAGATAATGACATGACTTGCAATTGACATTGATTTGAGTGAGGGAAGGTTGTGCAAAGTCACCAGTCTCACTTTTTGTACCAACTGAGGTGACTGGACCCTCACCACGCGATTGTCTATTCCAAGAATATCCGAAGTAACGTTTATAGGAACCTTGAATTAGGAAAAGATCACTAGATTTTACAACACGGGGGGAGTTAACCTTCCAAAACAATCATCCCTACACAGCTGCTCCCTTGACTGTCCTTGGCACGTGTGCGAGACTAAATAAAGGGATCTCCTTTACCGCGATCGGTATCTTAATCCTTTTTCCATGGAGAGGGTCAGTCACATCTCAATTTCTCTAAAGATAAAGGGGGAGCCTGCCTTTAGATGGGTCAGTGAGCCAATCGCTTTTTCAGAGGGAGGGAGGGTAGAAAGCAATTATCTAGAGGAGAGAATCATCAATCCATTCCCCCAAGAAAGACCTTGGCTTTTGTTCGGCTCTTTTTCGTTAAGGGAAAAGTCTGAAAAGGGATTTAGGCTGGAAAAAATGTTATTCCTTAATCTGAGAGTTAGGGAGGCCAGGCGGACCAGCGGGAAGGTCGAGCACCTGGATGCCAAGTTTCGAGCCTGGGGGACTGGGGAGCACGGTGATGCCCTCCATAGGAATAATGATTGTGGAGGGCGGGTTTAGCTGGAAAGAAAACGAATTCAGCCTCAGGCATGTTGAGTCTAAGATGTCCGCAAGGCAGCAGGACATTGAGACTGGAGGTCAGCGGGGAGTCTGCGGCAGGATGGGCAGATTTGAGAACTCTCAGCATAGAGATGATAATGAAGTCCACGGGAGCCTCTGACACTAGCTAGCCGCGTGACCCTGGGCAAGTTACTGCTTTCTGCCTCAGTTCCCCCCACTCCCTGCGTGGTCGTGAGGACTGCTGCCCCAATAGCTACTGGGCGCCGCGGAGTTGCTCACTCCAGGACCTCGGGGGAATTTTTAGGGATCCGTAGAGCGAACCTAGATGGGCAGCCAGGGGAATTCTCGGTGCGAGCTCTGATTGGCTAAGCTCTCCACGCCAACCAATCATCCTGCTGTTTCCCGAGCTCCCCCCTCTACCTCCGCCGGGTGTAGGGCTTCGTGACGATTGGCTAGTGTGGTGGCGAGACTAGCCAATCAGCTCTCGGATCGAGGATATTCACAGTTCTTCCTCCTCCCTAGCTGGTTTGGGTCTAACTGTCCCTGTGCAAGAGGAGCATGGCAATGATTGGCTAGTGTGGTGGTCACCAGCCAATCCAAGCTCCGACCGTGGGTTTGCACGTCAGCCCCGGCGAGGTCCGGAGGAAGGCGGGGAGAAAGGTCAATAGCGGAACTATGATTGGCTGGAAGAGCGACCATCAGCCAATCATCTCTCTCACCGAGATCCGCCCGTCTCCACCTCCTCCACCAAGCTGCCGGCTGCTGGTCCCCCAGAAGGGGGTTGGGGACAAAGGCAGGGAAACAGCGTGGTGATTGGCTGGAGCGGTGGTCCTCCGCCAATCAGCGCGCCCCTCCTCTCTAACTGTCAGCCTCGCTCGGGAAAGATCTGGTGGGGGCGCGTGAAGGGGCTTCCTCCGGGTGGCGACGAGCGCGTGCCCGCCTTGGCCCAGCATGGAGGGAGCGGCGGCGGCCACGGCGAAGAGGACGGGCGCGGGGACCGGGGAGAACGGCGGCGGAGAGACCCGCCCCCGAGAGAGGTGCGTGGGGCGGCCGGGGAAACTGAGGCGGTGTTTGTGGGGGAAACTGAGGCCGGGGGCGGGGGAAAAAGAGGGGAAACTCAGACGGTGTTTGTGGGGGGAACTGAGGCTGGGGGGGGTTCCGAGGCCCAGGATGGGGTCGCTCCAGGCCGGCGGGGTCCGGGCCGCAGCCGTTTCCGGAGGCCACGGAGGAGCCTTGGGCCGGGGCCAGAAGGGAAGCGATCGAAGCAGGCCGGGACTTTGAGCCGGGAACCCCGGGACCTGGGGGGGGGGGCTGAAGGCCGTGCCCGGCGGGGGGGCACAGCGGCTTTGCGGGCGCCAGGCTCCCAGCAGAGCCCGAGATAAGGGAGAACGTCCCGGGGGAGATGCGGACCGCGGGTCTGGGCAGGTGTCCGCCCGGCGCCTCCTTCTCCGGCCACACTGCTGACCGGCCCTCCGGGTCTCCCCCCGCGATGTCCCCGTCCTTCTGACCCACCTAGGATCGCGTCCTGGGGGCCCAGGTGTGGACCCCGCCGGAGGGGATGGGCAGCCGCGGCCGGAGCGCTTGGGACGGGGTCCAGCTTGGCCCCCCCCCCCCGCCATCGCAGCAGGAGGTGTCCCGGGACCGCGTGGGTGTCCTGCTGTGGGCCGCCCCCCTGTTGGATGGAGGCACCTCCTGCCGTCGGACCCGGTGTCCCAGACCGGGCCCGCTCTTTGTGCTGTGCCTGGACCCGCCTGGATTTCTGCATCCGAAAACTGCCCGGGGTGGGGGGGCCTTCCTTCTGGGGACCCAGTGTGTGCAGGAAGGAGCTCCCCGGGCCCCACCCCCCGGACGGGAGGAAAGGTTCCCTCCTGGTGCCTTCATTGCAGACTCCGGGTCGGACGCGACAGATGATCCTGGCCGGAGAATTAGAGCTGGAAGGGCTGGAGAAGTGAGGCCCTGGCGGCGGGGGGCTTTGGACGGGGTCTTCTGACTCTCAGTCCATGCCTGCCTTCTTCGCTGGCCATTCTGAGAAAAGCCCTCCTCACTTTTCAGCAAGGATACCTGCAGTTTCCCAAGCTTCTCTGCCCAGTGGTTTGCAAACTGCTTTGTCTAGGACATAATTAACAGCCTTGGATGTTTACTGGTCCCCTGCTGTGTACAAAGCCCTTTGCCAGGTCCTGGGATATGGACCTGTCTCTTTCATGTTGCTGTGGATTTCGCAGGGGATGGAGAGTCAGGAGACATCAGAGCTCAAATCGCACCTCTGGCCCTTACTAGCTGGATGACCATCCAAACTTCTTCTGGTCTTCAGTTTCTTCATCTATAAAATCTTCACCTCTCTAACTTCATAAGCCTGAAAGACTTGCCTAGGCCCTGAGCTATGGGGCCTTGTCCAGGACTGTGGCCCCAGTCCCTCCCCCCACTGCCAGGCAGCCTTTCAGATGCACTCGCATAATTTAGAAAGAAACTGTTTTGTGCAGACAACCCCCCACTTGGGATTACTAGTGTGCATACAGAATTGAAATGATAAGGTTAGGGAGGTTCATGTGTTAACTTTCTACGGTGCTCAGCAGAAAACCATTAAATACTTTTTAATCATGATACTATTTGCCCCAAAATTACTCTGTCTTCTTGTTTCCAGAAAAGTTTACATGGATTACAATGCAACTACTCCTCTGGAGCCAGAGGTCATCCAGGCCGTGACGGAGGCCATGCAGGAAGCCTGGGGGAATCCCAGCAGCTCGTACCTGGCAGGTGAGGCACAACAGAACCGCTCATCCCATGGCCTGCAGCCAGTAGTCTCCTGAGTCCTAGGCATGATGTCAGCCTGTTGAGGGCCTGTTGGACCTGCGCTCCACAGCCTCCGTCCTGGGCCTCGTGGAAGGCTGCTTGGAGCACTTGTTGCTTTTCACACTGTTTCATACAGTCCTGGCCTTGAGATGGATACATGATGTCCCTGCTTGAGTACTCCCTCCAATGATGCAGATCTCCCCCCGGCCATCCTTTGGTTCTCATTTGTTACTGTCTCTTCACCTTTTTTGATTTCTGTACCGAGGGAAAAGCGCATGATCCTAGAATCATAGATGTCCACCTAGAAGGGGATTCAGAGTATCTCGTTCAATGCCTTCAGGCTACAGTAAGGAAAATGAGGCCTGGGGTGCTTATCTGACATGTCTGAGCCTACATAGCTGTAAGGGCCAGAGGCAGGATTTGAACCCAGGCCCTGTGACTCCAGAGCCAGGGTTCTTTTCACTGCACAGTTATAGTGTACCATTATTGAAGGCCATTCAGGTTTATACATTTGGGAATAATTTACCCATCACCTCTCTGGCTATATAAGACATCTGCTTCTTATAGAAACTTAAGTAAAATGGAAGAGTCTTGGAAGCTGAGACTTAAATCAGGCCTACTGCCTTAATTCAAAGTCCTCTGGATCCCATTCAGGGAGATCAGCCTGATTCACTTGCTGTATTTCAATGTTTGCTGTTAGGAACAATGAAGATAACGTTTTCTAGAGTTAGAGATTTGTTTAACTCCCAGGGTATTTCAGGGACACTGAGTCTCCCTGGGTCTTGGTCCCCCGAGGCAGGCCAGGTCCCACTGTTGGTTTTCATTAATGTCCCTCTTGGTCCGTCTGGCGGCTTTCCTGGCCACTGTCCTGGACCTTGCCCAGCATCCCCATTTCATCAGGTGGAGCTCACCTGGAGTCTGAGGTCAGTGCGCTACCCACTGCACCACTGAAGGTGGATTTCCCACCACAGAATGAGCTCTAGTTTCTGTGCTGATTACTGGCTATCAGTTATTTCACACTGTTTGCTCATGGAATGTCATCAGCTGAGCTGCACCAGGGGTGCTGGCTGAGGTTCCTTTTGGGAAGGGTCCTTGCGGTCTACTCTGGCTGCAACTGGGAATGCCCCAAAGGCCAACCCTGCTCTTGGGCCAGGCCTGGCTCTAGGGCTTCTGGGAGATGGGAGGAGCACTTAGAATCAGTGCATAAATAGGAACCATGTGTATAAAAGCACCAGGAAAATGAAAGTGTGTGTACGAGTGAGTGGTTTTGTATGAATGTGTGTGCGTGCACGGGCACCAGCTTGAGGGCCCTGGACGAGGTGTGAGTACAGCCAGGAGAGCAGCAGCTTCCGTCAGGGGAGGGGCCTTGGCTGGGCAAGGGGGAGCCAACCCCAAAGGGATTGTAGGGGTTCCAAACTCTTCTCCTGGGATACCTCTCGTTGGTCTTGACCAAATGAAATAATGTCCCTTTTAGTAATTCACCTGGAGGCGTTCTGCACTCACAGTAGCCAGAGGAGCACCGTGGCCACTGGATGGACATTGGCGTCGAATGCACTTACTGCCTTGCTTTACATCCACAGCGTTTGCTGGGATCCCATCCAGGGCCTTCTGGTGCCTCATCGTGGTGTGGAGGTGCCTCTGTGCCAGGGCAGGCACACCACTGCTGCTGAGGGTGGAGAAGGTCGTGGCAGAGGGCCAGTCGCTGGTGGCATGGGGTCACGTCCACTGATTCTGTCCCTGGGTTTCTTTAAACACATCTGGCTTGGCTTCTTACGGCATTGTGGTTGATTTTTTTATTGATTTTTTTTGAAGGCAAAAAGGCCAAGGATATGATAAATGTAGCCCGAGAAAACTTGGCAAAGATGGTCGGCGGAAAGCCCCAGGATATAATCTTTACTTCAGGGGGAACAGAGGTAAGGGCTTTAAATAGTCTCACTTTTTCTGAGTAATAAGTGCTGTTCAATCAGATAATGCAATTAATTCAACAAACATTTATTAAGCACGTAGTGTATGCCGAGCACTGGGCTAGGTGCTGAGGCAGCTATAGATAAGAAAAAGTTCCTGACCTCTTGGAGCTTACAGTCTAATAAGGGGTTAAGACACACACAAAAAAAGCCATCTCATACCATGTCTATGATAGGTGTGGACTTTACAGGACAAGTGGGAGGGCATTTGAGACTCAGGAAACAATGTGAACAAAACCATCGGGGTGGAAGGGTGCCAAGTAAACAGAGCAGCCCATTTGGTGAGAGTGATGAGTGTGTGGAGAGAAGGCTGGCCAGGGGGGCCATGCCTCAGTTTCTCTTCTGTCAAAGGTGAGGCTGTGTAGACTAGATGACCTTGCGGTCACATCCTCTCCCTGGGTTCATTTTCCTCCTCTGTGGCACTAGATGGCCTCCAGGGCCCCTTCGAGGTCTAAGCCTGTAGTCCAGCAGCAAACAAACTTCCTGTGGGGAGGGTTTTGTGATTTGTTTTCCTTTTGCCCTCTGGCCTTTCGACAGGCAAACAACTTGGTAATCCATTCCACCATGAAACTATTTCAAGAAAGCCATCAGTCTGAAGGAGACTGGCCGGCCAAGCAGCAGCCCAGCCTGGTCAGTGGGACCAAGCCGCACTTTATCACGTGTACCGTGGAGCATGATTCAATCCGTTTGCCCCTGGAACACCTTGTGAGAGAGGGTGTGGCAGGTGAGCTCGAGCTGAGGCCACAGCGGATGCTCAGGTCTGCCTCCCTTGGGCCTCCTGTACTGTGGCACTGGCCCTTACTGACCTCTGCCCCCCATAGCTGGCAAAGGGACCTTCCTAAGCCCTCTCTTCTTCCAGGAGCTTCAGTAGCTCCCCATTGCCCCCAGGCCCAAAGATGCCCTCCTCTCAGCGGTTCAAGGCCTTCCCAGCCTGCTGCAGCCCACCCTTTCAGGCTTAGGCAAGTTCAATAGCTAAGGTAGTCAGTCACCCTGGCCTTCTGGCTCTTCTCTCCATGTCTTTGAACAGCCTCTTCCTCCTCCGCTTTCCGCCAGGACTTCTAGTTTCCTTTTGAACTTTGCAAAGGTATCATCTCCTACCTGAGGCACAACCTGATTTTTCTCCTTCTTCCCCAAATTACTTTGTTATTTACTTGGTTCACATCTGCATGTGTGGAGCAGCTAGGTGGCGCAGTGAATAGAGCACCAGCCCTGGAGTCAGAAGGACCTAAGTTCAGATGTGGTCTCTGACACTTGACACTTACTAGCTGTGTGACCCTGGGCAAGTCACTTAACCCCATTGCCTAGCAAAAACAAACAAACAAACAAAAAGATAAAGATATCCACATGTGTCAGTGGCATCTGTTCTGATATGCCATCAGTTCCTAGAGGGCAGGGCCTGGTTTTATATCATCTTTGAGTCCCCCATGCTTGAATCCCCCATGCGCAGCATTGTGCTTGGCTCATAACAGGCACTTAATAAAGGCTTTTTGATGGCTAGGTTGACTGGTATCACCTATCACCTGAGGGAGAGCTCATAGGCTACTAATTAGGGCATCCGCAGGTGGACTGAGGAGGAAAAGAGGAAGCCTGGCCTGGAGCTCGAGGCCTCTGGCCCTTGCTCTGGCCCGAGACAACCTTTGCATCCTTCCCTCCAGCCCCACCCTTCAGGCGAGGGCACACCCACCCATCCCTCCCCTCGAGGAGCTTCCAGTCTAGTCTGGAGAGAAGGCAAGGCAGGTCCACACACAGTCAAGCATGGTGGTCTGCAGCCATCCTGGGAGGTCAGGGAGGAGGAGGGAGATGAGCTTGGACTGGGGATCATGACGAGAGGCTCCTGGAGGGTCTAGGGGAGGCAGGAGGAGGAGGAAACACATCTTAGGGTGAAAAGGGCCCTCAGGCCAGGGAAGCTGACTCCAGAGCCTGGCACGGCCCTTCCCTTCTCAGCCCTTGCTGTCCTTGTCTGTAAAATAAAGGGCTAAGAACAGGTCAGCTCTAGTGTTCCATCCAGCGTTTACTTTTTAAACTGCTTTTGAAATTGGGAGCCCTTGTGACTTTTGGGGAGGGGAGAGATTAAATGAAACTGGAAGATTAGTCTGGCTCTAATTGCCAACGTGGAAGGCCTGGTGAGGAGCACCATGTGGTGTGCAGTGCTGAAGGCCTGCACTAGGCTGGAGAAGAGCTCCTGGCCTCAAAGATCTCAGAGGGAGAACTGACAGGACTGTCCCCGATGGGTTGTGGAGAAAGAAGGAGAAGGCCTAGTCCTCGTGTCAGAGGCCATGGGCTGCGGTGACCACAGAGTGGTGGTGCCACTGACCTGTGAGAAAGTTGAAGGGCAGCAGGTGTTAGGGGGAAGTCACTGAGATGTGTCAAGATCCGGATGGGTAGAGCAGCTCACACCAGAAAACACCAGCACTGTCAGGGAAGCAGGAGGTAATCCACAAATGCCTCCTCTGTGCCACGCAAGCGCTGTGCTTAGTATTGGGGAGACAGAAAGAGGCCAGAGACCCCTGCCTTCCAGGGTCACCGTCTAATGGGGGAGACACCCTAGACACCCACAAACGCATACAGCATGGATGCAGGGCAGTTACTAGCCTTCTGAGCTCCTCCTCCTCGTACTTGGAGACATTTGTATTGAAAAAGTCAGGCTTGTGTCCAAAATATTTACATTGAGAAGTTCTTCCCCAAATCAGTCTCTCTCCTTTATATTATGGATGCCTTGCTTTTTGGTTTCTGAAAATTATTTTAATATAATCAGATCGATTTTTGTTTCCCATAGTTTATTCTGTTTGTTGAATAGATAAAACCTTTCTACCTCTCCTCAGCTCTGATCTATGGAATTCCATGTACATCTGCTTTTTCATGACTTACAGATATTTAGGTTTTTTTGGATTTGATCCTCTTGGGATTTATTGTTGTGGGAGGTTCCAGCTGGGATGTAAGCCCTTTTTGCCATTCAGCTGTCCAGTTTTCTTAGCAGTTTTTGTTAAATAATGATTCCCTTTCCCATAGTTTTGTGATCTTGAATTTATCACATGCTGGTCAAAACATTCCTTGTTCATGTGTAACATTTGGCACAATCCATTAAACCTTCACGGAATGAAACTTTGTTGAAGAAGCTGCCTGTTCTTGTGAGACATTTCATTCATTCATTCACCAAACATTTAACAAAGTGTGTGTGGAGCAGGGACATGGGGGCAGTTCAGAGTTTATACAAGACAAAGCCTCCGCTCTCCTGGGAGACCACGCCTGGCACATATGAGGTGTTTCATAGCTTTTGAGCTGGAAGGGATGTTGGAGATCACTGGGTCCAACCCCCTCATTTTACAAAGCGAGGAGGCGTAGATACCACAATACCAAAGATTAGATGTCAGCTGCTTTAGAGAGTAATTACACGACCCAGGGCCATGGGAAGCCTCAGGGCAACAGTTGTTACTAAGAGGGCAAGGGAGGCAAGTCCTCACCTCGAAGGTAGGATTTGAAGTAGGCTTTAAAAGATGTAGGAAACCCATGAAAGAAGGGGAGGGAGGATATTCTGGCATAGGGAACAGGGGAGTAAAGACCCAGAGTGTGGACATCCTTGGAGACAGATGAGCTTACACTTCATTTGGCAGGCAACAGGGATAGACAAGAAAGTAACAGGACTATCTGTGTCTGCAGGAGACATGATCAGGACATTAACCTTGACCCTTGTCTCATTCACCACAGAAGTCACCTTTGTCCCCGTGTCTAAGCTGAACGGTCAGGCAGAAGCTGACGATGTCCTTGCAGCTGTCCGACCCACCACCTGTCTTGTGACCATCATGCTGGCTAATAATGAGACTGGTGTTATCATGGTAAGACCGTCTTTGAGAAGAAGTTAGTGATTTGAGGAGGGAGACTCTCACCCTATCTCATTCTGCATCATGAGTCCATCACCCCTCCGTCAGGAGATGATCTCATGCTTCTTGTTGGCCCTCTGGAATCCTGGTCATTGTGCTGATCAGAGTTTAAATCCTTTCAAAGTTGTTTGCCTTTACAGTGTTGTCATTGTATGAGTTTTCTCTTGGTTCTGCTCACTTCACTCTGCATCAGTTCATAGAAATCTTCCCGCGTTTTTCTGAAACCATCTCCTTCATCAGTTTTTAGGGCATGTTTGTTTCCTGTCACAGTCATATATCATTACTTGGTCAGCTATTCCCCAATTGATAGATATTCCCTCAGTTTCCAGTTCTTTGCCACCACAGATAGAACTGCTATAAACATTTTTGTATCTATGGGTCCTCTTCTTATTTCTTCTGTCTTGTGGGGAATATGCCTAGTATTGGTATCTCTAACTGCAAGAGTATACATGGTTTAGTAACATTTTGGGTATAGTTCCAAATTGCTTTATAGTGCCTGGCACATAGTAGGTGCCTAATACATGTTTACTGATTGATTTATTGATCGATTGAATGGAACCTTTCACCACTTCACCAATAGTGCATTCGTGTGCCTGATTGTGCTAACATGGGCCATTTTCCATTTTTTGGTCAACTTTGCCAATCTGATGGGTGTGAGATGGACCCTTAGAGTTAACTTAATTTGCATTTCTCTAGTTATTAGTGATTTGGCCCTATTCGTATCCTTTGACCACTTATGTATTGGGTACTTATTCTTGTAAATTTTGGTTTCTTATGTATAATAATAGTAATAGCTAACATGTATTAAGTGCATACTATATGTGCTAGGCACTGTGCTAAGTGTTTTACAATAATTATCTCACAAGCCTGTGAGGTAGGTGCTGTTATCCCCATTTTACAGAAGAGGAAACTGAGACAAACAGGTTAAGTGACTTACCCAGGGTCTGAGGTCAGATTTGAACTCAGGTCTTCCTGACTCTAGGCCCAGTGCTCTATCACTGGGGCACCTCAGATGCCCCAATCTTAGAAATACCTTTATCAGAGAAATTTACTGGAAAGACCTTTTTTCCTCCTAATCTTCGATGCATTGGTTTTGTTTGTACAAAACCTTTTTAATTTTATGCAATCCAAATTTTCCATTTCATCTTAATGTAAACCTAATTCCAAGGTACTCTGTATCACTTGTTTGGTCATGAACTCTTCCCTAATAAATAGTTCCAAAAGTTAATTTCTTCTTTGCTCCTCTAATTTGTTTATGATGTGATCTTTTATATTCAGTTCATGTATACATTGGGATGTATCTTAATATGTGGTGTGAGATGGTGGCCTGAATCGAATTTCCTCGTCTGCTCTCTGGTTTTCCCAGTAGTTTTTGTCCAACGATGAGTCCTTATTTGAGTAGCCTGCTTCTGGTTACGTTCATCCGGTCCTCGTGGGACCAGAGCGTGTAAAGTGCAATCCTGTTTTGTTTCCCATTCTAGCCCGTCTCTGCCATCAGTCGCCGCATCAAAGCCCTGAACCGGAAACGGGCGGCCTCCGGGTTGCGGAGCATTCTTGTGCACACGGACGCAGCCCAGGCTTTGGGGAAGAGGCGAGTGGATGTGCAGGAGCTGGGGGTGGATTATTTAACCATTGTTGGCCACAAGGTAAGGCCTTCTGGCAGTCCATGCACTTGAGGCCCTTTGCCACATCTTAGAGAACTCTGAAGAGGTGGACTCATTCCCCACTCTCTAATTTAAAAATAAGTAGAGCCAAGAGAACCCTCCCGTTTTTGTCACCTTTTTGTGTGTGGTAATTGGGAAGAGAAACCCATGCTGACAGTTTAGTTTTCTGCTTGATCACCCTTGGTTGACCGTTTTATTAGCTGATCAGAACTGGAGCTTTTGTGGCAGAACCCAAAGGTCACACCAAAAAGGAGAGAGCATCTGGGCCTGCCCCCATCCTGGTCATGTTCTTGGGATCATGGTCTTTGGGTTGGAAGAAACTTGAAAGACTCAGGCCCCAAAGCAGGATGTGAGTGTAGGAGCGTTATGTGGGGTTTGGCTGCCACTTTTGAGAAAAGATGTAAAAAGCCGGGTGGTTTCCAGAGAAGGTAGTGAGGTTGGGGCCATCCAGCCACGGAAGGGGCCGCCTCTGGAGGAGGCTCCTCTGGGGGCGAGGAGGAACGAGGAGACGGTAGTGGATCATGGGGAGCGTTCAGTGGGGGGCTGAGAAGTCTGGCCTTCTTCCCATTGGCATTGGCAAGTCTTGACTCAAGCTTTTGACCTCAAAGTGATAGAAGAAAGGTAGTGCTCAAAGCAGATTAACTGGAGGTGCTCCATGAGATGGATTGCAGGCAGAGAGACAAGGTAGGAAGTAGCATAAATCATTATTGATGCAGAATTGGTCCAAGTGGGAAAGCCAGAAGGAAACACCCAGAAAGTCCCGGCCATAATTCATTACCAATCTCCTTAATTATTGCTGATTATTACTAATGTCATTTACAATATCCTTTTAAGCCCTTCTGTGTTTCGCTGAATGTGGAGGTGATGGTAATGTTCCCAGTGCCCTCCGGTATCCACTGTGGAGACCGCAAGCATGGAGGCCCCACTAGGGCTCCCCTTTAGGGCTGGCTGGTGGTTCCTAATTCTGTTATGGTCTTAGCCCAACCTCTCCACCTTCTGCATAAGAACAGCATCCAAGGGGCAGCTAGGTGCTACAGTGGATAGAGCACCAGCCATGAAATCAGGAGGACCTGAGTTCAAATTTGTCCTCAGACCAAACACTTGACAGTTATTAGCTGTGTGACCTTGGGCAAGTCACTTAACCCCAATTGCCTAAAAAACAAAGAACAGCGTCCAAGACTTTGTCAAATGCTTTGATTAAATCCAGGTAAATTGTATAACACCTCCCAGAGCTTTGTAAAGAAGAAGCCTTCCTCTCTCCATGCCCACTTGCCATCCCTTCAGTAACTCGTGCAGAATTTTCCCTGGCGTGCACATCTTTCACTGGCCTGTGGTTTGCAGACTTTCTCTTCCCAGAGTTTTAGTTGGGAGCCCCCTTGCCCTTCCTTCTCCAGCCCTGTGACCCCCTCCCATTCTTCCCGAGCTCCTCCAGACCACGCACACACGGAGGTTCTTCGGTGGGGCACCAGGCCCTGGCTCCTTACTTAGGTCAGGCACCAATTCTCCTTTCCAAGCCAAAGATCATTCTTTTCTGCAGAGAAAAAGAAGCAAAATCATTGTGCTATTGTCCCTGTTGGAGTGGTTTCCCTTTGTGTCTTTAGAATTCTGTTCTTGACGATTTTCTGGTCTTTTGGGGGCGACTTTCCCCGTGTGACTTCAGTTCGTGGGATTCCGAACCCCTCGGCATCCACCCTTCCATGAGGAAGGGGGAGGGGTATGTCTGGCCACACCCAGCTCTCCCCTCCTCTCTCCCCCACTCTGGTGACCAAGGTTTGCTCCTCTGGGGGTCTCAGATCCTCAGGAGAATTTCGCACTCTTGATACTTAACCTTTTGAAGGACTGAATTGTCCTCAAGGAAAGTCTAGAAGTGACTGACGGCTCTGCTTCTGGCGGGTGCGGGGGGGAGTGGGGACTGAGAGACAGAGTGGGAGGTCTGCACCCCGTGTCCGGCAGGACCACGGCTTGCCCACGGCCACAGGGGGTCTCTGCCGCGCCCCAGCCCGCACATGCCCTTAGTGCTGCCGCTCGTCAGGACCCACGATCTCTGGTGGTGTCTCGTGCCCGTGTCGGTATCCCAGCAGAGGAGGGCAGGGGGTCTGCCGCGCGATCCCCTTGTATTTCCCCAGGGTCGGGGGGCGGGGATGCGCTTCCGTAACCTCCGTGTGCTGCCTTTTCCTCCTAGTTCTACGGCCCCCGGATCGGAGCCCTGTACGTGCGCGGCCTGGGCGTGGGCACCCCGCTGCGCCCCATGCTGTTTGGAGGGGGCCAAGAGTGGAACTTCCGACCAGGGTGAGGCGGGGGTCCTTTAACAAACACGAGCCGTCCTCTGGCAGGGGTTGGAGCTGCGGGAGTGAGTGGGTGGGCGGCCGAGAGGAACCTTCCCCAGCCGAGCCAGAGCCTGAGCCAAGCGGGGGAGGGGGGGGCTCCAGGGAAGCCCCCGATCCCTGGTCAGCCGGCTTGGGTTCTGAGATGTGAAGTTGGCCATCGCGCCTCGGGCCCGGTCCTACCCTGCTCCTGGCTGGCGCCGGCACTTCTCCGGGCACTTCTCCGGGCGCTCTTCGATTGTTTTTGACAGCTCGCCATGCTTTTAGTGTTTAGAGTGAGAACTACTCCTCCTTCCCCCAAATGAAAAGACCCTAAAGCCATGCCGCACAACCCCACCCCTTCCATGGGCGGGGCCTCCAAGGGCTATCTCGGACCCCCGCCGCCCCTCCCCTGTCTGGCTCCTCCAGGATCCTCTGGGGTGGGTTGTTCTTTCGGTTCGTTCCAGCTTTCCAGGCGTCCAGCCTCTTGTAGTCTGCCTGGGTATTCTTTAGAGCAGGATTTCTTTCTTTCTTTCTTTCTTTCTTTTTTTTTTTTTTTTTGGTTAGGCAATGAGGGTTAAGTGACTTGCCCAGAGTCACACAGCTAGTAAGTGTTATGTGTCCGAGGCCGGATTTGAACTCAGGGTCTCCTGACTCCAGGGCCAGTGCTCTATCCACCGTGCCACCTAGCTGCCCCCTGCCTGGGTATTCTTAGCAGCACATTCCAGATGGGTTCTGTTTTGTGAGCAGAGGTTTGTTGGTTGACTGGTCAATGTGCCACAGGATTAACAAGGTCTAGGGACTGCCCGTAGCAGGTAGCTGAGTTAATGCCAGCAGTTTTTCTTGAATAATTCCCAACCCATGGAGAAAGATGGTGCTTGTCCCAAGTGAGTGTGGAGACTGAGGGGCTGTTGTGTCTGGCTGCCCCTTTAGTCTCAGTCCGGTCTGGCTGTCTCTCTTGAACCAGCTTTGCATATATTTCCTGTTTGCTGCTCTGTGCACAGGTTAGCTCCTTCCTGGAGAATGCCTTGGTGGCCTCAGAGCTCAGAACAACCTTTGGACAGAGTGGGTCCTGGGGGAATGTTGGCAACAAAGTCCCTTACTCTGCCTGCGAAGAAAAGAGAAACAGGGTGCCAGGCACAAAAGGAGGCCTAGGGAGAATGAAAGGGGGTTCCTTACCCCATCCGATTGGGTCACAGGCTGCCAAAGGTCAGAGCCGGGTTGGGGGGGACCTTGGGACTCATTTCTCTGAGGATGAGAGGGGAGGCCTTCAGCTGGTCAGGGCAGCCCTGGGGCGGGCTCAGGGCCCACCTTCACTGAGCCTCGCTGCACCAGCTCCTGGAGCCTTGGAGTCAGGGTTCCCACCCCCCACTTTTGCCATGTGACTCGGGCCTCTCCTCCAGTCCAGCCTCCATTCAGATGCCCGAGTGATCTCGAAGTGCCCAGATGGCCATTTGTCTCTCTTTGACTCCCGGTCGCCTCTATAACCCAGGCCTCCCCTGCCTATCCCCACTTTGCCATTCTCTTCCAGCTCCCACCTCCCCATTCTCTTGGCCCCCTCGATGTCTGCCAACAAGACCATCTCCTACTCGCTTATTTTCTTCTGGCTGACCGCCATGCCCAGAGTGCACTCCATCCCTGCTCTGCCCTCAGCTTCCCTGGCTTCCTTCGAGTTCTGACTAATCCGACCCAAAAGGACAGATTTACAATTTTCAGAGGTTTTTCACTGTTGATCCTGGTCCAACTTAACTGTCGAGGGACCCAGAAGTTAAGTGTTTTCACCGTTGTTCCCCACTGCTCACTCCCTTGTCTGACTGATAGTTCCTCCACCCTCACATTTTCAGTTGTGACCGGCCTGCTCCAACCTGGGCTAGGTCCTGGATGGAGCTCCACATTTCAGTCTGACAGGTCTGTTAAGTAACTTCATCCCTTTGGAGTTTAATTTCCCAACTTTCAGCTTTGGCCTGACCCTCTCTCCCCTCTCTGCTGGCTCTTTTCAGATGGACCTTGCCAGGGCTCCAGGTGCAGGGTGAGGTTGTCACCACCACCACTTTCCACCTTCCTGGTTGGTGTGCTCTGCCCCTGGGTGGGGCTCCCTCCAGCTGCCCGTGGGCAGGGGTCAGTCCCTGTACCACCACACCTCTGAGGTAGACTTTCTGGTTCAATTTGTCCTCTCAGCTCTCCACCCAGGAGCTCCCCAGGTGCTGCCGTCCTCTCTTGGGCTTTTCATGTGCCTCTTCAGGTCATCTGAGGGCTGGGGAGCTTCCTTTCCCTCTCTGTCCACATCTGGACCACGAAATTCTCTGCTCATCCACATTCTTGACGTCATTGGTCTCCTGCTGTACCAGGATTACACCCGCCGTGTGCCTTTCTTTGGCCCTTTGGGTGGCGGGGAGTTGTAATTATTCAGGATGGCTGAGTTGCAAGATCTCCAGTTGCATAACCCCAGACACTCTTGGTGCGCAACACACAGAGGAGGGGCACGTCAGGGCTCACCAGAAGTACTGGTCAGTGACCATGTCAAGACAGGAAGCTTTAAGGGACTGACGACCTCTGCTCCACTCTGGGACAGAGCCCGACTCCAGAGAGCTGGGGTGGAACGCAGCCCGCTGCGCACCTCCTGGCGGAGAGGGTGCAACATGACATGGCCAGGGGCGGGGACAGGTTTTTCTTGACAATGTACATTTGTTTTAAAAGGGTTTTGGTTTTTGAGGGTAGGGGAAGGTGGGAGGAAGAGAAAATGAATGCATGAAGATAGAAGAACTGTTCATTTCCCCAAGTTTGTTCCAGTTCCCCATCTCTTTCCCCTAATCAGCTGTGGGCCCAGCTCACACCTGATACACATACACACCCTCGCCCTGCCCCTCCTCCCCCAAGTTCCCATAAAAAGTCTAAATCAGGTTTTGCTTCAAGGCCAGCAATGATTTCCAGCCCCTCCCTTTCCATCTTACACCAACCCTTCCATCTTCCCATATGCTTCTTGCTGCCCAGAGATTCTTTAACAAGGGGCACTGATTTCATTCTAGGACTAGAGAGAAAGCCTTCGTGAGGTACACTTTTAGTGTGAACGAGTTTCAAACAGATTTACAAGTGGCACAGTCTGAGGTGGGCTCCTTCCCTGGGAGGGAGAAGGGAGGGGTGCTCTCTTAGCAGCCCGAGGAGGCTTGGGAGAGCAGGAATGCAGCAGCCCTGCCCAGGACAGGCCTGTCAGGGGCAAGTGGAGAACCTCGGCCTTGTGTGTTGTGTGATTAATGTTTTTAATATTAATGAAATTAATGGATTTTAATGTAAACTTCATCTAAAAGTACTTTACTCCTAGAATTAAATGCCACTGTATCAGGAATGCTGTTTTGTATTCTCATGGAAAATTTAATATTGAATACGTCCTTTTTTTTTCAGGACTGAGAATACTCCCATGATTGCTGGGCTTGGAAAGGTGAGAAAGAAGGTCCCTGATTCTTCAGGAGTCTACCACCAGTGTGTGTTGGCCCTAGAAGACCCCCCATGATCGACAGCCTTAGCATAAGAGGGGAGTTAAGATAGTTTGGGGAATGTCAAATGAATTTTACCAGAATCCAGCAGATTTCATAAATGTTTGTTGAGTTGATCTGAATTGTGGCTGACTTAGGGGGTTTCGTTGGCCTTGTTACGTCCTTTGTTCTTCGGTTTCCCCAGATCCCACTTAGGGATATATCTGCCCTAAAGTTATAGCCTAGAGATGCAGGAAGACCACATTCATAGAGTGTTTGCAGTCCTTTCAGTGAAGACTAACATCCAAAAGTACTGATATATAGGGGAATTTCATTTCTCCATAGCCTGGGTAACCATGAGAATGAAAGGTTGGCTACCGAGAATCATGAGGTTGGGAGCCCAGAGAGCACTTGCTGGGATGGTGGGCGTTGCCTGTGGTCAGCGTTTTTGCCATGACTTTGCTACTATCAGCTGCACGATCATGATAGGAAAAACAGATATGAGGAAGAAATCCTCAATTTCCTGTCCTGAGGGTCCTCCAGAATGGGCTGGCTCTTCATTTGCCACTTTATTAAGCACCTGTTAGATACAAGGCGACTTGGGCAATGTTGACTTTGCTTAGAAATTCTTCATTAGGGCTTATTGCTGGCTTTGAGAACTTGTGAGATGTGAAGTTGCTTTTATAAATTAGCAGTGTGGTTCTTTTTTAAAATCACTTTTTATATCTTGTCCTTTAATTCTCTAGTGTTCATGCGTTGATCACCACTTCAGTAAAAATTACTTTGCACATAGGCCCTTGGGCATTCAGCAAATGTTACCAGTGTTTCGGTGAAAGAAAATTCAATTCCTGGCTATTGACAACGGTGTGAAGGTTCATGCTGAGCTTTCCGTGCAGGGGAACCATGAATGTGTCTAGGTTTAGAAACCATGTTGTTGGAGAGTTTACTCATGACTTTATGTGGTAGGGGTGTGTGTGTTTTGGGGGGTGGGAGGGAGTTGACAGATTGACAGGAGCACTGAGTTTACCTGGCTAGGGCTTGAGCAAATTCTGATAAGTGACTGGAATCTAATAGTCACAGGGAAGGCTCCTTCTTTTCTTCCTTTTTTCCTTCCTTCTTTATTTTCTTTCCTTCCTTCCTTTTTTATTTTCCTTCCTTCCCTTCTTCCTTCCTTTCTCTCCTCTGTAAATTTAAACTTTTAAATTAATATCTTGTGTTTTATCCTCTACTCTTTCAACCTGACTTGTCTGGCTGTCATTTTAAAGAAAAATTGCTAATGTATCTCCATTTTAAAAAAAAATTAAGTAGTGTGTGATATCATAGTGTGTGATATCAAAACGATGGACTGTGGCCATAAGTACAAGGCAGGTGCTCGGAGCTCCTCGTGAGCAGTGAGCGGCGTTGGCCGTGCTATTTTCTGTGTTTGTAGGCGGCAGAGCTGGTGAATGAGAACTGTGACATTTATGAGGCCCACATGAAAAAAATCCGAGACTACCTGGAGGAGAGGCTACAAGTGAGTCCAGCCTTGGGGCTCCCCCAGCGGCTGGTCCAGGGGCCCTGGGAGGGAGGGGCATCGCCTTCCCCAGGGGTGGGTGAGGAGGGTGGCCCCCAGCAGGGAACAGGCAAGAGGAGGGGCCATGCTGCACAGAGGAGCTGGTCCTGATTTGAAATACAGCCTGAGAAACTCATTAAGGAACCCATTAGAGTGATGAGGAGAGAGACGGAGAAAATGAGGCGGGTGAAGTTAGAAGCCCAGGCCCTGGAGGAGGCCGGTGTGGGTTGGTGAGATGTGGTGGGTGGGTGTGTGCTCAGGTCGGCCCCCAGTGCCCGGCAGCTCCTTCCCGCTTTATTTGCCCTCCATCAGTAGGCCCTTTCACTTTGATGAGTGGATTTCTGCTGGTGAGGGGAACTTCGTAGTTTGTGTGTTTTGTGTTTAGGCCAGAGTTGGAACCTGAATTTCCTGAATCTTTGCTGTCTTTCTAGGCTGTGTTTGAAAAGAAGAGAATCCACCTGAACAGTCTGTTCCCAGGCTCTGATCGTCTCCCCAATACCTGTAACTTTTCCATCAGTGGTCCGCACCTGCAAGGTGACTTTGCGGCACTCCACCTCCACCCCATCTCTTCATCCCTCGGTTACGACCCCTGCCTGGTACCCTTGCCCTTGGTCAGCTTCTTGCTTCTGGCATCTGAAATTGGGTCATAGCCAGATCTCCCCTGAGTCCATAAGCTGCTTCTCCCTGGGCACCCTGAGGAGACCAGTCTGTTCTGTCTGGTTCTCTATGGTATGGCTCAATGAAAGCTACCTTCTCACATTTTTTTTTTGTCAATCTTGAAGTGACCTTCTGCTTTTTTTTTGTTTTGTTTTGTTTTTTAGGCATTTGGGGTTAAGTGACTTGCCCAGGGTCACACAGCTAGTTAGTGACAAGTGTTTGGTCTGAGGTCGGATTTGAACTCAGGTCCTTCTGACTTCAGGGCCAGTGCTCTATCCACTGCGCCACCTAGCTGCCCCGACCTTCTGCTTTTACATGGTATTCTCCTGCCTTTCCAGGAGAATTCTCCAGCATTGCGTTGGAGGTTGGGAAAGGAAATAAAGTGGCTTGAAATCCAGAGGAGTCCGTTTTTCCATTTATTAGCAACTGTTAGGAAGTACTTGATGGGGGCAGGACCTGTTAGAGTAAAAGATGAAAACTCTTGGCTAAAATAAAATTTAAAGATTTCTTTTGGTCTTGCTGTCCCTTTCCTCCACTGCTGTGGACAGTTTTAAATGAACTGTCTCCCAGACACAGAAATCCTCCTCCTTCTCCTCCTCCCCACTCTACTCCCCAGTAGGTCTCACAGGGTACGCAAAAATCAGATTTCTAGACTCAAAAACACTGTGCTCGTGTGACACTAAAGTGAATTATGCCTGAAAAGCCTTTGTGACTTCTTAGAGGTCAGGGCTGACATGATTTTGGCCTCCCTCAGAGGAAACTACCTTTCCAAAGAGGAAAGGAACCTAGTGCCTAGGCTTGGGCATGTGAGATCATGGCGAGGGAGGGTGAGGGGGGCTGCGTGCTCATGAGAAGGGAAGTGGGACATGGTCTTCCTGCTTCTCCGGGGGCTTTTGGGGTGGAAGGAAGGTCTCCTTTCTAGAGCACGGAGGGTTTTCATTTTGTCCTGGGAAGTCGACCTTTCAATCCCAACTTGACTCGTGTGTGTGTGTGTGTGTGTGTGTGTGTGTGTGTGTGTGTGTGTGTGTGTGTGTGTGTGTGCTCTGTCTTGTGCAGGTCGCATGGTGTTGGCTCACTGCAGGATGCTCCTGGCCAGTGTGGGGGCTGCTTGTCACTCAGACCAGGGTGATCTGTGAGTATTCTTCTTTCATGAGAAGTTTTCTTACTATTGAAGAATGTGGGAGAAGTGAAAAAAAACATAGAGGAGGAAGGATTGAGATTGGGAAAGCTTTTCCTGATTTGGAAAAGGGCTTTTTTGGGGTCCTTCCTGTGATTTCATTGGTCCCAGTCTGGAAGTCTCTTGCACTGATGCATATGGGTGTACTTTACAGCCTTAGGGAATGGCCTGCTACAAGGTACTGGCCCCAAGGGCCCCCGCCCAGGATATATCTGTCAGTGGAAGGACTTGAATTCTGCTCTCCCGCCCCTCCAAGGTCACTGTAATAAGGATCATGGAATGCTGAGAGTTTGGCCTTGTGTTATATTACTCTAATACCTTTTGGGGCTTTCCCCTTGCCTCACCTGGGCCAGTGCTATGAAGACCATCAGATTTAGTTGAGATTTTCTCTGTGCTTCAGGTGAGTGTGATATTAAATAATCTCTCCCCAAAGGAAGAGGCCAGGTAGCCTAGTGCCCCTTCCTCTTCTGCTCTTTAGTGGGACCGTAGAGGCCTTTGAGGCCTGGGGCTTTGGGAGATGATCACATTCAGGCTGGTGCTGTTAGAAATTCCCAGCCCTTTCTCATGGTGGGACTGAGAGAGTGAGTCTTTCAGTTCAATCATTTGGCTGGTCCTGTGGCCACAGCTGGGGGCAGTGACCTCCTGCAGACGAGTTATGTGAGCATCCGGCCTCTGAGGTCAGTATGCAGAAATGCCCTTCCTTCCCTTGGGGTGGTGCCTCCTTGGCAAGTGGTTCATCGTCCTGGCTTTTCTTTCCAGACCGTCTCCCATCTTACTGAGTTGTGGCATTCCCCCTGACGTGGCTCGAAATGCTCTCCGGCTCAGTGTTGGCCGGAGCACCACCAAGGAAGAGGTGGACCTTGCAGTGGAGGACCTGAGGCAGGCAGTCACTCGGCTTGAAACGAGCTCAGCCTCATAGAATATGGAGCAGCCATCCCCTGGGGGAGGCCGTGGAGAAGGGGCTCCAGCTTTCCTTTGGATAAGGATGGGGGTCCAACTGCAGTGAAGAAAAGCTTGCCATGATTCATAGGAAACCGCGGTGGCCAATCTTGGTCGATTCAATATGGAAGACTTTAGAAAGTCCTTTATTTAACATGGAGGAAAAAATAGAGGATAACAGTATCTATGAATGTATATTTTAGAATGTATATTTTTATTTTTGCATCACTGACGTAATGATGGTGTGGTAATTGAGACCACTCTTTGAGGTTGTCCAAGAAAGATTTGTGTTGTGTGGCTGCCTTTTCTTATAGGAAAGAAGGCATGGGATCCGAACGTGTGCATCTCATCACAGATATAGCAGCCCCTCTCTGGGTACTCAGACAGAAAGGCCTGGGAGACTTTTCTAATGAGGAAGGTATAACTGATACAGCCAGATAAGGAAGTCCCACCAGGAGCACTTAGGTGGGAATGGATGTGAATGAAGAGGAAGGCCAGCTTCAAAGGTCCCTCACAGGCCGTCCTGTTTGGAACAGGGGAGGCAGCCATTTATTAGAAAGAGAAAATCAGGGGCAGCTAGGTGGTGCAGTGGATAGAGCACCAGCCCTGAAGTCGGGAGGACCTGAGTTCAAATCCACCCTCAGACCAAACACCTGACACTTACTAGCTGTGTGACCCTGGGCAAGTCACTTAACCCCAATTGCCTACAACAAAAAAAACAAAACAAAGAAAGAGAAAATCAAGGCTTTTGCGGCCTGTTGTCAGACAATTAATTTGAGAAACAAGACTTAAGTAATTGATTTTTTTTCCCCCAATTTGAAGTCCGTAAATTCTTAGCTTGAAGTAAAACTCAAAACTTAAGTTTAACAGAAGCTACTTAGTTATGGTAAAGTCTAATTTCTGAGCCTAGTATTATTTGTTTTATCTCTCTGTGTGTTCAGGGTTATAAATGTAATTTTTCATAGGAAGGTCTTCAATTTCAGGAACCCAATGTTTAAGGCTTTGTAAGTTTGCGCTCAAAAAAAAGAAAAATAGCTTTAAATGCAGGGGAAGAGATACTTTTCAATATGCCATGCTTATTCCCCTTCTGGGGGTTAGCTGATGTTTTTATCCCTGCTCAGAATGCCTTTTCCCCTTCCAAGTCCCATCCAGTCATAGCATCTTTGAAGGGGCTGCTCTCATTCCTCTCTTCCTGAAGACTGCCCTTCCCTTCCCTGACTTGTTCTGTTTCTAAGTTGTCTGTACCGCCCAAATGTGTGCATTCCTTCCTTCATTCAGTCATTCTTCTTTAAATCCCCACCCCCGAGCAAAGCCAAAAACTCTTGTGCTTTCTTGCATGGTTAGTCTGTTCCATGGGTGTGTCTCAACCAGATTGCAAGTTTCTGTCTTCTGTTTAGCCTTCACCTCCCCCAGTGCCTGGCCCAGCCTAAACACATGGTGCGCACTTTCTGAATTTTGTTACCTCTTGAAGAGATCTTGGAATCCATTCTCATTTTATAGAAAAGGAAACCGAAGCCAGAGAGACAACCTGACGCTGAACCAATAGAGCAGCGTCTGGAAGCCAGATCTGGCTCTTCATGAGGAAGCTTGCCTCTGTGTCTGTTAATTCTCAAGAATTAACTGCCTCAGGTTGAGGAAGCTCAGCCACGTTTCCTTTCTCCAACAGGCATTCGTGAGGTATCCGTTTTGTCTTCAGCTCTCAATACCTGTATTATGACATGGAGGGAAGTACCATGGGGTGATAAGCACAGGAATTCTTTGGAAGGTGTTCCTATTGGGTGTCCTCTTGGAGAGTTTCACGGCCTGCTTGACACCCCACTAGATCCTTCAGTCAGTGTCCCCAGGCTCTAGGAAACTTTTTTTTTTTTGGCTGCTTTTTGGTGAGGCCGTTGGGGTTGAGTGACTTGCCCAGGGTCACACAGCTAGTAAGTGTCATGTGTCTGAGGCCGGATTTGAACTCGGGTCCTCCTGACTCCAAGGCCAGAGCTCTATCTACTGAGGCACCTAGCTGCCCCTTCTAGGAAGCTTTTGATCTAAGTGAACTCTAGGAGAATTCTCCATGAATCCAGAAAAAAGAAAACCAGTCATTTTCCTTGCAATTTGTGGAATTCCAAGTTCTGCCAGACTTGCCACTTCTACTGTGTAACCCCCTGGAACCATCCACCACCCACACTAACGGCCAATGGCAGTAATGATGTTCTTCAAGGGAGCTGACACAGACTCTTCTTGCTTTTCCCTTCGGGCCTTTCCCCACCATTTCTGGGGAAGTGTTGCAGCACTGGGGTGTGGCAGAGCTGGTTCTGTCCTTGCTCGTGCTTGACCTCAGCTGGCCAATGTGCCTTTGGTCCTGGTCTTTCATAAGATCTTCCTTTGTTTGTGCACCAAGGAAAGAGTTTGTCTGAAGGTCTGAGGATGCCATTTTAACATGTGTTATGGGAGAAGGATCTATTTAGATCCTTTAGAATGAGTTCTAACAGATTGTTAATTAATATTTTAATTGTGCCATCTTTGCTCAATACTGGTGAAAACATTGCTTGGTGATTTTTCTGTTTAGTTAATAAAGTATTTTTATGCTAGTATTATATAGTAGTGGCCGGCCTGCTCGTCACCTGGTCCCCAGCCTGACTGAGTGCTCGCCCTGCCTCTGGGGGCAGGGGGATGGGTGGATTTTCAGCAGCTTTCCCTCCTGAGGGCACAGAGGGGTTTTCATTGGTGTCAGCAGAGGGAGGACCCGCGTCAGCGAGGTCATTACTCCTGGTATCGCTGAGCTTTGTACAATATTGTGAAGTTCTTAAAGCTGTTCTTACCGCTGACCCTATGAGATGAGAGGCAGAAGAGGACACTGCAGCCAGTAGGAGATTAGAAGCCAACTTCTGGTCAGTAGATTTGAATTCGGGTTTCCTGGCCCAGCACTTGATGCACTTCCAAAAAAACTATAAATATGGGACTCCATGTATTTTCATGGGCTGTCTCCCATGCCTGGAATTTTCTTCCTCCTCATCTTGGCCTCTCAGTTTCCCAGCCTTCCTGGAAGGCTTAGCTGAAATCCTGCCTTCTGCAAAAAGTCTTTCTCCACCCTCCTGTTGGTGCCTTCCCTCAGAGATCACCTCCAACTTACCCTGCCTATATCTTGAATGTACCTCGTTGTCCGCATGCTGTCTCTCCCATTAGACTGAGCTCCTTGAGGGCAGGCACCATGGCTCTGCCTTTCTTTGTATCCCCAGTGGTTAGCCCAGAGCCTGGCACATAGTGGGAACTTAATAAATGCTGGTCAGAGTCCTCTACATAAATTCCAAAAACTCAACCTCCCAAAGTAAAGCAGACGCTACCTAACATAAAGTGTGGCAATGCACCTGGTGCTGATTCTCTTCCAGCCGAGATTTACGAGGCGGGGGTCCCCTGCTCATACAGAAGCTGACTGAAATTGTCCAGTTATATGTCAAGAGAAGGTTATCCCCCAGGAGTTCAAGGATGCCTCCGTTGTCCATCTTTATAAAGGAAAAGGAAAGAGATTGTCCTGTGACAATCATGGGGGTGGGGGGGGGAGGGAAGAGGGGGGGTCTCTGTCTCTTAGTCATTGCTGGCAAGGTTGTTGTCAGAGTCCTCCTCAGTAGGCTGACCTCCACTTAGAAGATGGTCATCTACCTGAGAGACAATGTAGATAAATTAGCAGGTGAGAACGATAGTTATTAAAAACCAATATCTTGGGGAGATTCAGGGCTCCCATTCCCCAAAGTCCTGACTTTAAGTTCATTTTTTTTTTAAGGACCTTACTGAGAATGAGATTACATTAACTCTCCTTCATTTTGGTCAGACCCCGCACTACCAGGCAAGGACTTTAATCTAGGGTGGGGAAGCGCGGTGTGTTCTACTCAAACTTGGGTAGACACAGATCTTTTTGTCTGGAAGCCCAAACTGAGGGTGGTCTGAGTAGAGATAATTTTCTCTGTCCAAGGGCAAAGGGCATATAAACTGTGAGCAATGATTGTCTTTGGTCTAAGAGAGATGGCCAAATGACCATCCTTTTATTAATAACCTACTGGCCATATTAATAAAATGATTAAATTACCTAGAAACTCTCTCTTGAACCTTTTTAAACAGCACACAGGCTTGTAAATCAGTAATGATGATGAAAGGTGATATTTAGATTGTGCTTTAAGACTCAGTGGTTTACAAAGTGCTTTATGGACATGATCTCAGTTTACAAAACAACCCATATCAGTGGGAAATACTACAGTTATTACCCCAGATTTACAGATGAAGAAACCAGGGCCCAGAGAGGTTAGGCAGCCTTCCCAAGGTCACACAGGTGACCACAATGTCAGACTTGGGATTCACAACCTGGAACCTCTGAGTCTCTTTCCACTCATCTTTATGTATTCCCAAACCAGATGTGCACACCTGGATGTATGAATGTGTGATCTCCCTGATGTGATTACTCCTTCCTAAGACTCAGATTGCAGCTCCTCCTTCCTTCTCCTCATGAGGGTCTTCTTTAGGTCCTGCCACACACCCTACATGGGGGCACCTCCCAATATGCCAAAACTTTCCTCTGGATAGATCTCTTGACACTGCACGGATCCCAGGAGAGGAAGCACGTAGGCTGTCCATTGGCTCTCCCATTCCCTCAAGGACTGGTTCATCTTTGGGGGCCTGTCATATCTGGTGCCGTATTTCATGGTGCTTTTCTCTTGAAATACTTCATTGGTAATGGGTTACAGCCTGCTCAGGGCCACACATTGTTGACAGAGACAAAGAATGGGAAATCATACTTAAGAGTAATGCATAAGTGAATTGCCCCGCATTTTACAGGTGGCCTGAGGACTCATGGAACACATATCTAGAGCTAGCAGGGTTTGAACACAGGTCTTCCTGATTTCATGTCCAGTTTCCTGGGCAGTAAATACACCACAATGCCTACTGTGAATGAGGCCTAGCCTCAGTTTCCCTAGGTTTTCTCCCTGTGCAAAGCTGAGGGACACCATACAGGGTGTGCCTGGCACATAGTAGGGGCTTCATGAGCGCTAGGTGACTGATGGATTCTGCCCCACCTTCTGGAGGGCTGGTGATCCTGGCTCCGGGCTGAAGAGCCCAGCTGAGAATCGAACCGTGTAAACTAAGCTCTCTACCTCCAGGACAGCCTGGCTTGTCTTTACCTCCCCTTCATACCCCTAAGAGTTTCTTAGAGCTTGGGCCCTATCTCGAGCAGCGGCAGCTTCCCTGCCTTTGCCCACTGCCTGCCATCTGCCTGCCCTCCACCAAGCCTTATCAGGTAACCAGAGATGGTAGCTCCTTCCACACAGGAAACAGGACCCTCTGACTGTGAGCATGAGTAGTTCCCTGGAGGAACACTGGTATCTGCAGGAGAGCAAGCAAGTATCTCAGGATGGGCGATCATCGGGCACTTTTGGCAGCCAAGAACGGGGACCTGACCGCTTTAAAGCAGCTTTTTGAGGATGGCGTCCTGGATCAGACCGTCACAGACTCCCTGGGGGCTGGCCTGGTGCACCACGCCTCCAGAGCAGGCCAGCTGGAGTGCCTGAAGTTCCTGGTAGAGTGCGTCAAGATTCCAGGGAATCAGCGGGCTAAGAACAGAGCAACTCCAGTGCACGACGCAGCAGCCATGGGCCACCTGGCTGAGCTGCATTGGCTCGTCCGAGAAGGGGGCTACCGTGCCCAGGTACCTCAGGGAGCAAGGGAGCTAGATGGGAGGGCACAGGCAGCCGGCCAGAGGACAGCAGGCAGAGGGGTGTGGGTGGCGTTTGGATGTGGTCCATGTTCTGTTACTCAGTCCTGGTCATTTTCCTCTCAAAATTATATTGGCTGAAATTTCAGTTAGAAAAAAATCTGAGTCAATGGGAAACGTGTCAGGGATGCTTCGGCTGTCTGGAATGGTATCGATATGGTGTGGCCAGTGGATCCAGGAGACCCGGACTCAGATCCCAGCCCTGTCACTTAGTAGCAGTTTGTGACCTTGGGCGACTAACATCAGGTTTCAGTCTTCTCATCTGTAAGGTGGGAGTGTTAGATTCTAAGGTCCTTTCCAGATCTGCTTCTCATGATCAAACTCTAGATTTTGGGATCAAGGTGGACTTAGAATCTGTTGCGCAGTCTCTAATGTTTTAGAGTATGTATTTCCTATAGCATTTTAAAGTTATTTTTTCAGTCAGCAAACATTTGTTTTGGGGAAAGAAAAAAATCCTTGTAAAAATATGTCTAGTCCACAAAACAAATTCCCATATTGGCCATAACAAAAAATGTGTCTCTTTAGTTCATTACATCTCTGCTTTTGTGGGTGTTCGTGTGCGTGTGGGTGTGCGTGTGCGTGTGCATGTGAGTGTCCGTGTGTGTGTGTGGTGGGAGGCAAAGAGCTGGAAAGGAAAGAGGGTTCCCATCACTTGACTGAACAAACTGATCTGCGAACATAGTGCCACAAGAAATGATGAAAAGGATGGTTTTGTAAAGCTCTGTGAAGACTTAGACGAACTGATACAGAGTGAAGTCAGTCGAGACTAATTTTTTTTTAGGATGCATCAATTTTCCTAAGTGTTTTTTATGCATGTTACAACAAGTGCCACATAAAACCTAATTTCTTAACCACAGAATACCCAGGGTGTAACCTCCTCATATTCTGATCCCATGGTTATGGCAAGACAGACAGACATGGTCCCAGGGACATCTTTTGTAAGACCAGACTAGAGAAACCCTTTAAAGGGTGAGCAAACTAAAAGACTGTCAATATCGGCTGAAACTGGCATCTCCGTTGAAGAGTCTGATGCCTAAAGCAAAGAGATTTTAAATGCCTAATGAGCCCAAAGCTTTTTCTGGTGTAGAAGCACTGACCTAATCTCCATCTTTATCCCATTGATCATGTGAATGTGTTGCTCATTTTATGTGGCTAGAGTCCTAAAGAGTCCTAAAGCAAAAAGCTTTACAATCATTTTAAAATCTTTTTGGGAAGATTTCTTGGGAAGTAGGTGAATATGTGATTGGTTGTAGATGGAACAAGGGAAGGAGATAACCCCAGAGAAGTGATTTGTCCAGGGTCACTGAGGACCTCTATGGCACTGGGATTACATAGTGGTATCCCTTCATTTGGGGGAGTTTGGTTAACTTATCTATGTGTGACCAAATAAGTAATTTGGAGGTAAGGGGGTCATGCTCTATACTAGAATGAAATCCTTCAGGTTTTGGAGTTGGTGTTACTCACTCTAAGTGTTCCTTGGTTCTACGAAGGGAATTCGGCATTTATTTTGATAACTTCAATAATTAAGTATTATCAAGTACTTCATATTTTCTGGATGTCCCATGCGTCCACAGTAGAAATTTTAATACATTTCCTATCTTGCATGAGAGACCAGAAGAGCATCATGCCATCAGCCAGGGTACAATATTGGTTTTCAGTATTGACTCCAACCTCTGTGAGAGGACAGTGACAGAATGGGGTGTATCTTGATTCCAAAAGCAAGATACTGGCTAGCCCAGATCTGGTTCCCCAGACAGTTCAGAGCAGGATAACGCTGGGTTCACAAGAGGCCCTCCTAATGGTAAAAAAGGATTGAGGACTGGGGCAAAAAGAGGGTTCAGTTTGGGGACACTAAGCTGTGCTAGCTCTAGCTACCTTGACTCTCGTTTCCAGAGGAAGTCAATGTTTCTGGACCTTCAAAGGCACAGATGATAATTGATAGTCATCTCTCAGATGAAAAATTAGGAGACTGGTACCAGTCCCAATCAGACCCACAAAAGGAAAAAGAGCTGGGGAGACTTAGTGGCCAAAAAAAAGCTAATGGAATCTGAGGGTGATGTAACCTAGTGTCCAAAGCAAGAGAATGACTAAAAAAATGAATTCAACAATGTATGTGGTAGGAACAAGATACCAAAACTAACCTTGTATCATTACAATGACTAAGCTTGACCTGGAAGGAAAAGATACACTCTTCCTGGTTAACAAATCAATTTAGCACACGTGCTTGCTATGTGTTTACTATGCTTACTATGGGCAGCTAGGTGTCACACTGAATAGACCTGGCCCAAGTCACCAAGTCTCGTCATTTCTACCTTCACAGAATTTCTTGTGCGCATCCCCTTTTCTCAACTCCACAGCCATGACCCGAGGTCTGGCCCTTGTCACCTCACACTTGGACTAAAGCAGTAGCCTCCTAAACTGGTCTCCCTGCCTCTAGGCTCTTTCCCCACCAACTCATCCTCTGCTCAGTGGCTAAGGTGATTTTTCTAAAGTGTGGATCTGGCCATGTCACTCCTCCTTCTCAGACACCTCCAGTGGCTCCCTATTACTTCCAGGATCAATGACAAACTCCTGTTTGACATTGAGAGCTCTTCATGACTTGCCACCTTCCTAGCTTTCCATTATTCTTACCCTGGGCCAACTTTCTAGTATTCTCTACACTTTATCTGGCTCTCTGCTGGCCAGAGACACTGGTCTACTTGTAGTGCTTCAGATAGACCATCTCTCATCTCTGAGCCTTCATACTGCTTGCCCTCCGTGCTTGGAAGGCTCTCCCTCCCTACCCCTACCTCCAAACTCCCATGGCCTTCTTTAGGACTCAGCTCAAATCTCACCCTCTGCAGCATCTCTCTTCTCTATGGCTAATACCTTCCCCTCTGAGATAACTTTCTGTCTCCTCCATCCATCTTGTGTGTATCTAGTATGTGTGACACATCTTGCATGTACCTAGTATGTATGTGATATACCTTGTGTGTTCCTACTATGTATGTGATACATCTTATGTGTTCCTAGTATGTGTGCGACACATCTTGTGTGTATCTAGTATATGTGTGACACATCTTACATGTACCTAGTATGTGTGTGATACATCTTGTATGTACCTAGTATTTATAGGAGAATCAATCCAGGGCAGATAGCTGAAGAGTAGCTCTTTTGGGAGTGCAGGGATCTGTCCAGTACTGCCTCATAATCACTTTACACTCTCTAAGTACTCATTAACTAAAATTAGGCTGAGACTTGTCTGGAGGGATGACAGGTACTCGACCCAAATTAGTTGGTATTCATATGGGATATCCCTGCTCTTTCTTTCTCTCCAGGATCAGGATGTGTCAGGGGTCTCCCCACTGCACCTTGCTGCACGCTTCGGGCACCCTGTGTTGGTGGAGTGGCTGGTCCAGGAGGGCTGCGATGTCTCCCTGGAGACCCTGGAGGGAGCACTTCCTATACACTATGCTGCGGTCAAGGGGAACTTGACCTGCCTGAAGCTGCTGGTCGCTGCAGACAATAGGTGAGCAACCCCAAAGGACCATGGGAAGGGTGACCGTGGCTGTGTCCTAAGACCTATCTAGAGGGTTCCTTCACCCTGCTCTGGATGGGAGAGCAGCAGAAAGGGACAGCAAGATCAGACCTGGTTGGTGGCAGGATTAACAAGGGTACACATCTTTGGGTGGAGAGCTGGGAGGAGTGAGACAATTCCAGGGGCCCTGGGATTAGGGAAAACAATGTGTACGAGGGTTATAGGATCACAGGGATTTTACGGGCCATCAAATCCTCTCCTCTCCCCCTCATTTTAGCGATGAGGAAATTGAGACACAGAGAGAAAAGGTGACTTGTCCAGAGTCACATAGTTAGTAAGTATCTGAGATGAGATTTGAATTCAGGTCTTCCTGACTCCAAGGCCAACTTGTTATCCACTACGCTATGTTGCTTCTCCATAGAAGAAGCTGGGATACTTCAGTACAGCTTTAGTAGGTCTGACGCAGCCCTAGCAAGGCTTATGACCTTGGTGTAAGGTAGCATCTTTCCTCAGTGGTTGCCAGGCAACCCCTCCTCCAATTCCCACGTGGCATCCAAGGCCTCAAAGGAAATGCAGTGCTTCTTGGGCAAAGAGCAAGGCCTGCAAGTCTTCCTTTCACTGTGCTCGCCTTCTTGAAATGCCACGGAGGTCAGATGCTGTGACCCCCGCAGAGAGTCACGGATTTAGAACTGGATCGGACCGAGAAGTCGTTGTGTCTTTGAAAATGTAAAGGTGCGGGAGCTGTGGGAGGCTTGGTGAATATCGTCACGGTTGGAGATTGAGTGAGTTGGGAGGCAGGCAGACTTTCCAGGAATCGGGCCCTTCTCTAGGCTGAACATCGGAAGTTAGCGGGCAGAGAGGTGGTCCCTTTGAACGGATAATAACGCCGTCTCCTCTGGATGGGAAGAGCAGGATTTAAGCAGCTGTGGAGGCAAGACGAGGATTTGGGAGGGAGTCTGACAGAAGGACAAACTTCTTATGAAAATTTCAAGACATGAGAATGAGCTTCCTAAAAAATCACCTTTCCAGACAATCGTCAGACTCAGACCTGCTCCGTTCTAGCTTTGGGGGCTGCTTGGAGCTGTTTGTTCACAGGATCCCAAATCTGGGCCTGGAAGGGACCTCAGACGCCATCTTTACAGCTGAGGAAACTGAGGCCCAGGAAGGAATTTGCTTAAGGTTACATAGGTAAATTGAAACCAGATTTTCTGACTCTGGCACTAGTGCTCCTTCCCCTGTACCACAGCGACCCCTCCGAAGTGACCCTCCCAGAAGCCCAGCTTCCATCCCTTCAGCTCTCCCTTCTCCCTTTGCCTCCCCCATCCCTAGTACCTCAGCCTCCACCCCAGCCCACATACCCCCACACTCCCCCATACACACACACACACACACACACACACACTCCCCCATACACACACACACACCACACACACACACACACACACACACTCCCCCATACACATACCACACACACACACACACACACACACACACACGTCACATCACATGCAATAAGGGACACTGGAAAATGCTCTCAGGTGAATAGTTTGAAGACTCAGAGTCAGTCTCCACTTCCAGGGACCGTTCCTCTAGGCTGTGAAAGCAAAGTTTGTCCTCTACACCTCCTTCCCCTTGGCTTCCCACCAGCAGCCCCCAGGTCCCACTTCTCTGGTTTTCTCCCTCCCTCCTCTTCAGGAAAGAGAAGATGACAAGTTCATTGGAGCAGATTTAAAGTTGGGAAGGACCTCAGAGATCACCTAGTGCAATCATCTCACTCCATTTTAACTGAGATCCAGAGAGGGCCAGCAATGTGCCCATTACTACAGGGTATAAATAGCAGAGGTGGGTTTTGAACCTGGGTCGTCTGACTCCAAACCCAGTTCTCCTTGCACCATAAAATGCTTCATACAATTCATTATTGTAATAATGTGTTATATAAAAATAAAACATACACATACATTCAAACCCATTCCCAAGAGACATAATGTTACACATTCCATTTATTAAGGTAGTAATGTTACATGCATCTGTACATTAGTGTGTGAATGTTACATACCTTCCTACACCAGTGGAATAAAAATCTTAAGCTAATTCTCCATTGACATCCTCTTATGATGACCCTGGATTCTCCAGAGCTGCCAATGGGGATTAAGCTGAGCGATCCTTCCAAGCTGGAAAGGCTTTTTGAGTATAGGCCTGATGGTGTCCTGGGTATTTGTTGTCTGGAGGAAGGAAGGAAGGAAGGAAAGAAGGAAGGAAGGAAGGAAGGAAGGAAGGAAGGAAGGAAGGAAGGAA